GTTGAGTTTAGTGACTGTCGATTTGAAGTAAGCCTTTTGTTAACAATACTTGAGTTTAGTGACTGTCGATTTGAAGTAGGCCTTAAGTCAACAATACTTGAGTTTAGTGATTGTCGATTTGAAGTAGGCCTTAAGTCAACAATACTTGTGAGTTTGGTGACTGTCGATTTGAAGTAAGCCTTTAGTCAACAATACTTGTGAGTTTAGTGATTGTCGATTTGAAGTAGGCCTTATATCAACAATACTTGAGTTTAGTGACTGTCGATTTGAAGTAGGCCTTAAGTCAACAATACTTGAGTTTAGTGACTGTCGATTTGAAGTAAGCCTTAAGTCAACAACATTCAGCATATCCTCCTTTTCTTTAACTGGTAACTATTTCATTTTAAGTAAAAAAGATAGCAATTTTCTCAACCTCCTGTTTAAAGTAATCTCTGGACTTTTAGATTACAAAGTACTATAAAACAGTATTGTAAGGCTTGACTTTTCAAACCCATAATTTTTTGGGCATTCTGCTGGAATAATTTTCATGATGTCCTAATAATTATCACCATACCTTTCAAAATTTCCGATCTCTTTATAAAAGGTGGATTATAACATGGTTTGGATTAGTTTTCAGCCAAAGAGACATAAATGGTATCGAACACTGTCCCCATCCGATGGGTAAATCAGGATTTTTAACAAAAAATCTAGGATCATTCACTCGGGTTTAAGTAGTTAATGATTCGAAATTCATTTTCCCACACAATACATAATGTTTGTAAATTATAACAACATGAGTGTTTATCTTTTAGACTACTTTTATATGACATTAATCAAATTATATATGTATCATAACTAATATGTACAATAACAAAATGTGCATAAGTCAATCTTAATCTTCCTAGGGTTAGTGTCATGCCATATTGTAAAACTTAATGAATCAAAGTTAAGTTGAATCAAAAATTTTATTTTAATGGTTAAGTAAAAGCTAAGACAAATTTTGCTGTCAAAATAAGTTTGTGTTTTGTTAAATTCCAAGTACAATGGGATACCTATACCTTTAAGCTTACCACTGAGCTAGTGGAGGAACATCATTCTGATGGTAAGTACCTGTGCTGTGGTAACAATAAATGCGACACCCATTTTACTCAGTGGAAAAGTCACACCCACCATAAATGTCTCCTGTCAATATAACTTTTCAAAGAACTGGAAACCTTCTGTGTAAATAAAATTCTTATATTTCATTATGGTGTTCAGCCTGTAAATTGTCTTGTACGATAACACATACCTGTGTTTAAAGAATGTTTAAAACAACAATTTTTTCTGAATAATTTTATTTGTTGTCAAGGGTACAACAATTTTTTCTGAATAATTTTATTTGTTGTCAAGGGTACAACAATTTTTTCTGAATAATTTTATTTGTTGTCAAGGGTACAACAATTTTTCTGAATAATTTTATTTGTTGTCAAGGGTACAACAATTTTTTCTGAATAATTTTATTTGTTGTCAAGGGTACAACAATTTTTTTCTTAATAATTTTATTTGTTGTCAAGGGTACAACAATTTTTCGGAATAATTTTGTTTGTTGTCAAGGGTACAACAATTTTTCTGAATAATTTTATTTGTTGTCAAGGGTACAACAATTTTTTTTGAATAATATTATTTGTTGTCAATGGTGCTGTTACGTGTATCAGCAGTCGTCACAAGGTATGGTAATTACATGGAAATTCATGAACCAATTTTTTTCTAAAATAAATAAAGATATGAAAAAAAAACTGACAAGAGCACACAAAAACAAAATAAAAACATGCATTACAATACTTATTTACAGTCCTGATTGTCCCTTAAAACAAAAGAATGTCCTCACAATTTTTAGTAATAGGGTACAAAATATAACTTAAATATTCAAACTTAGACTGGTGAATATATATATATATATAAATAATAGGTGACCTAATGAAGCACAAGTTAATTGGCTGTCTTAAATGACAGATATTTATTATTTTGTGCAGGGCAGTTAGGTTTATGACATTCATTGCATTATACTGTCACCGTTTGGATCTACGTTTCTCTCTCTCTTATTATCGAAGAATATTAGGTACTATCTTATGAACAACTTAGGCTAGAAACATTGTTAATTATTCTTGAAATATTTATGCTGAATTTCAGATTTAGAAAGAATATGAAATGATCATGTTCTGAATTCTACGATTGTAGATTTTTGCCAAATGAATCTTGAGCTTATTTTACTTTAGCAATATCAATCCAACTATAGTCGTGCGACACTTACTTGCTTACTGACGGAAGCACATCATTCATAGCTGTTACCGATTGGTGTTACAACCTTAGTATATTACCCATTTTGCAAATCACTTTTGTGAAAAATGTAACATAATTATAAAGATAAATAAAATACTCACTATATCACGTGGTTCCACCTTTGACCATTAGAACAGTTCTAATTCTTTCTAGAAGGGCATCTACAATTTCCTGTAAGATAAGCCACAAAAAATAAGTTTGATTCCTGAAGGACACAATGTGACATAAAACAAGGCACTCTCTTTCAGTTGTAATGATCTTCTAACCACAGTAACATTTACTAGACGAGATTAAGGAAGTAATCACCGTGGAGTTATAATCGTAGATATTGTGCATCTTTGGTAGCGAAACAAGTTGTACAGTTTGGGTCACTAAAGGAACTATTGATCAGGCTCCTACGATTTGCCCTATTTCAAAGTCAGCTAAGATATTCTTCCTTCAATGTTACCTGACACTTAATGTAGAATAAATCTTACACCTGTTTCAATAATACAGATAACATGTCTAAGTAGTTATATGCATAACAAATTAATCAGGCAGTAAAGGATCCCACTTAACATAGGGGAAAGATTTGTTTGTGGTTATGCAAAGCTACACAATGAGCTATCTGTGCCGTGTCCAAGCTACACAGTGAGCTATCTGTGCCGTGTCCAAGCTACACAGTGAGCTATCTGTGCCGT